GGGAGAGAAATCATTGAAAAATTATATAGAAATAAAATTATGTAAAAAAAATAGAGATGGGGAAGGATGTCGTTGGATATAGGAACGGATGTCGCCGGAGAGAGTGATAGATGGAGAGGGAATGAGTTGCGATTTAGGGATTTAGGTTATGAGTTGTTGCTGCTGCGTTGTTATATACCCAAAATATTTGTGTTGTGAAACTAAAACATGTTGCGAATTTGAAATTCAGTTGCGATTTACAAATTCGAGTTGCGAATTTGACTTTCACGTTGCAAATTTGACTTTCGCGTTGCGAAATTGCAATGCGATTTACATATTCGCGTTGCGAAATTGGAAACTGGGTTGCGAATTTGTTAGTCATTTTGGCAAATCCAAAAAAAGTTGGTTACATTCGTATATTATAAGGTATTTTTTGTCACTGAGGTTATTTTCTCACCAGAAAATTGCAAAAATACCTAACATTAGATATGGGTTCATGGCCATTATATGACATGCCATCCAAAACTATCCTCAATTTCCCATTCATATATGTTCATTTATTTTCTCGTAAATAAATTTAATCCTCCAATTAGATGATGACATCTGTCATTAGTGACACATGTCACAACATATTTCATCATCTGATTGGAGGATATTTTAATTTTGTTTTATTTTATTCAGTAAATTTAATTATCCAATCAAACCATGACATGTATCACTAGCGATACATGTTATCATCTGATTGAATGATTAAATTTATTGAATTAATTAAAAATATGTCCAAATTGATAGAATTTATAAATAATGGAAATTACATATATAATTATATTGATTTTTTGATTTTGTTAACTATCCTATCAGCTCCTCCGTCCATTGTTAACAACAAACAATTTGATTCATATCGTTTACAATTTAAATAATTAAATAATTTTTATTAGAATTAAAATTCTGTGATCAAATTAAAATTCTTTCATGGTCATGAATGTAATTTACCCTTTTTTTTCATTTTACAAAATGTATAATAACGAACTCAATGTTTACCTCTTTTCTGTATTTCTTTGAAATTTTAGAAAACCAAAAATTACTTTTAAGTTTGAAACAAAGAATTGAGAACTGAAATGCAAATCATTACGTATAAAAAAACAGTAGGTGTTAGCCACATGCAAGTTTGTGGTAAATGAGTGTTTATACATGTGGTTGGAATTCAAAAATTTGAGTTTATAAATTTAATTTTGAATCTTATTATCGTTATTCTTAGTGGATAATTTATAAATTCTTATATAAATTTCATTATATCTTAAATATGTTCTGATCTTGGACTGGAGAACCACATTTACCTAAACTTTTCATGTGCTAAAAAAATGTGTGAGAAAAATTTGAGTCTATGTGGAATTTGTCAAACACGTAAATTAACTACAAATTTTTACATTTTCTTCTCCCCAATATGATAATCAATATATTAGTCCAACCTATTATAGTACTTCCCTCGTTTGATTTGAACAGAATCTATTGGTGGAAGCAGTCACCACCGTTTACTGCGCCAAACCCGTAGTCCAAATAAAGACTGACAAAAAAATACGGGACGTATAGGGGACGTATAAGGTATATAACCTTAATATAATATTAAAAAAAAGATATTATTGAAAATATTAATATTTTTTAATATTTTTAGTAAAATATTATTTAAAATATATTTTTTATCAAAAATATTAATATTAGACGTTACATAAAATATTTAATATTTTTGATAAAATATTACCTAAAATACTATTTTTTTATCAGAAATATTAATATTTGGTGCTATCTAAAATATTATTTTTTCTACTAAAAATTATGTAGCAAAATTAATATTTCTGATAAAAATAATATTTTAAGTAACAATTTACTAAAAATATTAAAAAAATATTAATATTTTTGGTAAAATATTTCTTTAATAGTATATCAAGGGAACTAAAAAAATGAAGGGGAGAGAAGTTCCATTTTCTACTTTTGAGTCAGAAAATTCAAGTGATTTCGCCTAACCCACCGCACCGCATAATCTACTTCTTTTGAGATTGCTCCGGTCAACCAAGGCAGAATGTTCTTGTTTGTGTTCCATTTTCCGGGGACTTGCCCCCGAATGGATTTGATTTGCCTTCAAGTTCAGTTCTTACTTGGTCAATTCATCACCCTCATTATTAGGTGAATTTAATGCTCTTTTGGTTTTTTTATTAAGTAAAAAAATAATTGAATTATTAAAATAAATATTGAGATTGGAACCTATAAAATATAAAATAATATAAATATCTTTAATCATTCTACTAATTAATGAATTTTAATATCTTTAAATTTTTAATATCTTATTTTCAAACTTTGGAATTCACTTTGGGTATACAAGGGTAATTTATATTATGAATTATTATATTTATCCTTAATTTTTATGGAGAACTTTAGTTTAATTTTAATTATTAACGAAATATGTTGTTGTATTGCTAAAGATTTTCCGCACACATCAGTTTTGCTTTTCACAACTACTAAAGGATCTAAGAACGCCTCCAAAACATCCAGTATCCTAGAACTTTCGAAGATGTAAAGAGAACCTCTTCGAAGGAAGAATATCGATGACCTAAATCTTGAGAAATCGTGACTAGTTGATATAGACAGACCCACATAATCCGTCTAGATCAAAAGAAACAATCAATGAACTACATCAATCAAACTTATATATTCTATCAATTTATAAATAACTATTATAGCCCTAAACCAAACACCAGCATCGAAGATCGGTATATAAACTCCTGTAATAAGTAGAAAATGGATTTTTGACTTTTGGGTTTATTCTCTTATTTTTTATAATCAAGTTTTTTATATCGACCGACTATCAATCGATCACCGATTATAACTCTCCTTCCAAATAAAAAAGAATGAATTGCCATTAATTGACTTAACCACATTTGCTCTATCACTACATATAATTTAAATTAATATCGTTAAATTATTTTGACGAAAAAATTGACTCAAAACTCATACTTGACAATTTTTTTACAATCATCACAGCAGAATTTGGTTCTCCAACCATCTATAATGTAAACTACCCTAGGTTTAAAGGAAAATATGAACATGCTTGTAGGACTTTATATGGGTTAGGTGTGTAGACATTTTAATATGATTGAAGGTGAATAGGAATACTTATGGGGGTGTTTGTTTGGGAGTGTAAAACATGTGCTTATAAATATGGGTTTGTTTACCTACCATTACTTTTTTTTTTCCTAGTAATTTTTTAATCATCGTTCACAATTTATCTAATTATAAGATGATTTAATAAGATAAGACATTAAATCCTTTATTTTAAGTTTAAGGTTTGAAAATGGATGTTACAAACAAAGAAAAACATATTATGTGGATAGCCCTATAATAGACCACTAAATATTCAATTTGGATTAATTGATCAATACATCATATACATAGTTTTTGAATAGACTGAAGTGATTATAATGTAATATTTGTTCAGAATCTAACCACTTAATGATGATGATCAATGCATTAGATGTTAATATGGATGTAATAGTGTAAGAATATGAGCCCAACACAACAATAAGGAACTAACGCCACTCAAGGATGGCAAAACTTAGTTAGAGACCAAATGCATCTCGCATAGGCCATATGCATCACTCTCCCAAATAACAAGGAGGTCTATGCATCACCTCTAGGTGTAACCACTCTTCGTAAGGACAGATGCAATATTTTATGTTAAAAGAGTGAACTTAAAAAATTTAGGATTAAAAATAAATTATAAATATAAAATATACAAAAAAATATCTAAAACATATAACAATTTAAAATTTTCAAAAAAGTTACTACTCCCATCCAATCTTTTTCGATCCATTCATGCTTTATACCATTAACCCACCATAAAATAATGTGTACCACCGTGACAACACCCTTAAAATCCCTTGTAACTTCAGTGTTAAAAAATTGGCATTGTTTATGGGAATAATGTGTACCATAAACATATTTTTTAATGATTAGAAATAAGAATTACTTATTAGTATATAGCAAAAATAACAATGTTGTAATAAACATTTGGCAGCATGAGACCATTCCATATTCCCATAAATGAAGCAGACAACAAAGTAATGATATAAAAATAAACATTTTTTTAATGATTAGAAAAAAGAATTACTCATTAGAAATACACACATTGTTATTGTTGCTATATACTAATGAGTAATTCTTTTTTCAATCATTAAAAAAATATTTTTGAAAAGTATTTGGTATTATGGAATTTATTTGTCTTGATATTAATGACAGATTTAGATCATTTCTACCTTACTGGTAATCAGTATTCAATGGTGACCGTTGCAGCCGATAAATGAAGGTGATGATTACTTAGTGAAATAGATGGACATGTAACTTCCACGTCAACAAAAAACAATCTAAGTCAGCAAAAAATCGATCATGTCACTCTATTATTTCTGATTTGTTGTTCGAGCAACTATAAAAATTTAATGTATGAAGTTTAGTGACCACTTTAAAAAAAATTAAATTTTAGTGACCTAAACAAGAATTAAAGTAAAGTTGTATGACAGAAATTTGTAGTTTACCCAATTTGTATTTGACATAGATACTGGGGAGTATAACTATTACTCCTTATTTATTAATTTCATCATTATTAACTAAAGTAAATTTTTTGTTATACATTTATAGATTTTAAAATAATATAGTTGATTGTAATTTTTTTTCTTTTTCCATTTAATTCAATTCAATCACCATCTCACTACTAATTTTAATTTCATCACTACAATATTCAATCTCAAGACTACATCAACCAGTTAACTCTGAAATCAATGTCACCCCATCCAAATAAACCCTCACTAAACAATTTTATTGAAAAAGTGATTTTTTTTTCTGAAAAAATTAAGGACCAAATTCAACTAAAAAAAAAGACCAAATTGACAAAAAGTCACTATATAAATCATTTGTAGTTTCAGGATTTATCCCTAATAAAATGGGAACATTAAGAAATTATCTCATTCACATTATCACGCTTTAAATTGCCAACTACATGCTTCTAGCTATTAGTTAATAATGTTACAGAAAAACAAAAGATTATCAGAGGTTATACAATATGAATTACCTAGCATTCATATGCGTAAGTGTACAGAGAACTCAGTTTGGCATAACATATCATGTTCGATTCGAACATCATTTTTCAATCCAATCTTTGAACAACAACATCATGTATAGAGGAATGTTCACCGCGGCAATAAGAATAAGCATTCGGAATGTGCGAACGAATCTCTGTATTACGATCTTCACCTTCGATTTGCTTGCTCTAGGTGGTAACTTCTTTGGATCAACCTCGGAATCTGCATTTGTGCCCATATTCAAGCACACCTCTGTCTGCTGATTAACACTCTTTTTAGCAGTTGCTCTAATCACAGCATTGCCCCTGTAACAAGGGAAACAAATGAAGAAAAAATAATCAGAACAAAAGGGAATACTTGGTAAATTTACAAGTGGCAATATGCAATAAGTAATATGTAATTAATCAAATACTAATACTACAGTTTTCATGTACAGGCTGCAGTTATTAACGAGACTCGAATATGAAAATGTTGAGCTTAAGCACCTCTCCAACGAGCCTCCATCATTTGTGTGAACGACAGGTTGGGTTAAAACCTTCTTAACAAGATGCATCGATCCATCTGCACTCCAAATCATCTCATACTCGCAATTCTCATCTTCATTTTTCTCTTTCGTCCCATGACGAAAGGTGAAACTTATTGACTTTCTGACACATTCCCCCATATCATAAACGCGAGCACAAAAGCTCAGACCACTAGTTGGCCACAATACGAGAGAAAGGACAGTCAAAACAAATAGTATTATATACCTGAAAAATGAGAATTTTAAAGAATTGTTACTCAGACCGATATAAAAGCTCATAAGTGGAAACCACAACCATTATTCTCTATATAATAGTTACCATATGTAAATGTGTGTCTGCATTGGAAGAAAGCACAGATGAGTAAGTACAGCTTCTTCTGGCTTCAATGTATCTAGGAGTGAAGAGTTTCTAATAGATAACAGCATGAAAGACGGATAGAGGTTCCCTTGCTGCCAACTTATAGTCCCTAAAGTGTGCTGCGTGTTATCAGGTAAAAACGTCAAGTCATGAATAGAAGGAAAATGTGCTAAACATCATATCCTCACCTCTGTTACAGGTCTACCCTTTGATTCATGTGTCACTGTACACTGATCATGATCATGACCGGATAAAACAAAAACCTGCCAAAACCACAAAATTGTCTCATGCAAGTAGTTGCAAATATCTTAAAACATCACCTTTGTAATGCATGTCAGACAAAATTCTCTCTATGTACATATGAATGAATATATGCAGAAATGTCAGCATGCATGCAAACATATATACATGAATATTTGTAAATGTGACTATATGCAAGCATTCATATATATATGAATGCATATCACTGAGAGCGAGTGTGCTCATGTACAAGATCACTTCAGGAAAGGATTAAAAATACCGGTTTGATTAAGTTTAGCAATTGGTTTGATGATTCCTTGGTGATGTAGTTTTGATACCTGCAACAGATTTCAACTGTCAAGAAGGTATTAACCCTAAAAAACCAACAGTTATGACTTGAAATAGATTCCTTCTATGGTAAGAAGAAAAGAGGAAGAGGCTTACGTTACTTCTTTATCATAAACATGATGTTGTATTCGCTGAACATGAAAAGTGTAGGAATTCGTAAGTATAAATATCAATCAAATTATTCTACAAAATGCAGTGGGAGAGAGAGAGAGGATAATAATCCTGAATACCTGATTGATAATTGGAGAGCTACGATGCAGTCCACAATCGGTCCAATCCCTCCGATATAATGGAATATGGGTCAACAAAACTCTTGGATGTAATTGATGATCTAAAGAAATGTGAAATATAGATAAATCATTTAAACAGTCGAGTCCAAACATCACATAAACAAGGAAATGCAAGTCAATATCAAAAACCTGAGGAGACATTGGTAACAAAATCCCAAGTTGCAGAAGCAAAACTTCCTTCTTGATTCGCTGCAATGTGTGCAAAGGTTAGATTGCCTATTTCAAATATGAGGTGACATATACCAAGTTGGAAAATTAAATGTAACCACATTTTCAGATGCAATGTATTCGCGTATATATATTTAAATAAATTTCCTTTGAGACATCCAATGATATATTAATGATTCAATTATTTCATACATTACGTCAACTATAGAGAGCAAATAAGTCACTCTATAACATAGTAACGCATAAAGCATGCAATGCTGCTGCAGCAGCACTTCTTGTTATGAGAAACAGTCTAGTTCAACTAGGATGATAAAACAACTTTCTGGTAGAATTACGGATAATTGTATGGTTAAGAAATAAAAATAAAAGAGAAAGAAAATAATTAGGAGAAGATGAAAGAAATCCAAGTTCTACGCTATCAGATTCCTAGTTTCATGAACACGGAAAATTACAATAGATAGACAAGAATCAGATTCCTTCTTGTTTACCGTCTAGAGTTTGAGCATCAACAGCTACGAACTCCACTTCCCCAACCATGAATCGATAATTTCTGCTCCCAAATTCTTTTTCATACCTTCTAACCACCTACATTTATGTAAAACTATGAGCTATTTCTATCGGAAGAAGGACCAAGAACAAGATATAATTTTACTTTGCCAAAAAAGCAACATATAGTTTTCGTGGATAACATAAGAGTCGAACATGAATTTTACTCTACTCAACCCAAGAAATCACTAAACACAACAACCTGAAGCAAATTAGATTTATGTATTCACATATATTCCAAAAATTTCAAAGTGAAAAGCGCAAAGCTCACGTCTATAGCTATTGCAATTTAACTCTCCAAAACTTAACTTAGCCCCGACATAACTGTAAAGAGTATTGATCATCCATTCATTGTCAATCCTTTCCCCACTCCAATTCTCTCATTAACATATTCATTTTCAATCCCTTCCACCCTCCAGTACACTTCAAAAATACTCCAATAGTTTAGCATTTTGGCCTTTCTTTAGTTTTTTTTAATCTTTTTCTTACTTCCTATTTAATGTAAACTTAGCTTAGCCCTACTGTTAAGGGTATTGATCAACCATTCATTTTTAGTCCGTTCCACACTCCAATTCCCTTTCGAAATTATTCTAATAGTTTAGCATTTTGTCTCTCCTTTAATTTTAATCTCTTTTCTTACTTTAGTTTTTTCTTTCTTTTCCACATCATAACCATTCCATGCTCATGATGCAAATAAAACTACTGGAATAAAATAAAATCATGCTTAGTTCTAGAAAGTAAACAAATTTTTGTAATATCGAGATGAGTAAATACCTCCGGCATTTGAGACTGAAGAGATGCATAACCAATATCATGGTTTCCAGGAAGGTGATAAACTTTAATATTGGAATATATTTCTTCTGAATATAGACCAAACATATGCTTCAGTCGGCTTAACGATTCCTGCCATCTGATCAACCAAAGAATGTCAAGGCCACTCTATATTAGAAAGGTAACTGAAGAGTTTTAAAGCAACACAGTTCCTCATTAGACAAACAAAATAGTGAAGTGAGGATACAAAGAAATGTTCTTGATGGTGGTAGTAGTACTAATAAAACCTCATTTAATATGCATTTAGCAGCATAAGCATGGAAGAAAAAGGATGAGGTAATTTTAGTGTAAAGCATCCAAGTAAAAGAACATGATGTGAGAAATAAATTTTTCACTTCCCAGAATGTGCTTAAAGCCTTAAATTTCATTTCAAAATCAAGATGATGGATTGAGTAATTTCATCTAGCAAAGCCTGCCCAACCCAGAAAAATGCATATCTATATAGATAAATTAACTTTAAAGTAGTTAAAATGAAGTTTCAAGTAAAAACAGAGGGTTACAGGCCTTACTCTTCATTTGATAAAAAAGGACCTCCATCAAAATAATCACCCAAAAACAAGACCACGTCTGGTTTGAAGGGACGGATGGATGATAAAAAGGCTCTGCGCATATACAAATCTGTATAGAATTGTACAACCTCCAAAGCAAGTGATTTAGGTGGCAATCGAAGGGAGGTTTTATCCATGATCTGTTAAAGACGTCAAATAATATATTAGAATGAGACAATGGATGACTAACAGGAACAAGAAAAGCACACCTGAGGATCAGCCACAACAGCGACTTTCACATAATCAGCTGCATGTCTTTGTCCGTTCGTCTAAAGTTGCAAAACAAAAACTGTTAGTTCCACTGTCAATCCACTCACAAGGATGAGAACACGTGCACTAAAGCATGTATGTGTCTGTGTGTGTATGCTTAAGAGATTAATTGCATCGATGTGTTCTATGTGAATTATATGGGGCTATCATCCACAATTACACCCAGAGAATCATTAATTGAGTACACTATAGTTTTAAGGAACTTAAACAGATGCCACGAATTCCAGAAATGAGAGTCATTCAAAACCTAGATTCCCCTGTACTGAGTATAACAGATTAGCACCAAGTAAGCATCATTCCCGTTTATATAAGTAAATAACAAAAAGAAAAAAGATCAGTTAAAAACATTGTAAGTTCGTTTCTTTTGCTACTTTTTTTTAATTCCAGAAGGGGAAAAAACGAGAAGAGCATTTCGCATATAAATAATGTTTTGAGTAATTCAACTTTAAAATTAAACTATTATCCATGAAATTAATGGCTTCACTTTCCCAAAATTACTTATGAACTTCGAATATGTATTAATCAAACCTATGAAATAGCTTTGAATCATTTACCTCAGGATTTTCACCAAATCTTATGAAAGAAAAAATACAAATTGCCTCAGGCACCGATAGCACAGTTGTAAATATCAATAATTTCTCAATGATGAAAATTAAAACGTAAAATTTATTAAAAATATACTAAATGCCACCACGGATCTGGTTGACTTCTGTCAATATTTTTTTTATAAAAAAATCTGGCTAAATAGAACTCAATTTTTTAACATTTTTCATCCCCTTAAAATTTGATTTATAATTGCATCTTCTATAATCAACATATTTCTCAGATTTTAACATGTTAATGCTCGTAAATTGAAAAAAAAAATGGAAATGAGATCAATTCAAAAGCTGAAAAAGAAAAAATTAGTGAAATGAGAAGGCAAGAACATTACAGTGAAATTGGAAGAAGATGCTGAAGAAAGGTGAGGCCAAGAGCAAGAGAAAAGAAAGGGCATGTAAAAGGAGAACATCTCGCCGTAAAGGATGGTTGCCGTCCATATTAGGCACAGAACCAGAGTCAACTTCTCGTGCTCTTTCATTGACTCTTCCCTTTTTAGCTCAGAACCCTTCGGATGTCGTCGGAGAGTGGGACTCAGCCACGAGATCCGGCGGATTAGTGCAGCACAGCTTGAGTCTAACGAGCTAACCGGAGAGTTTTATCTTTTTAGGAATGTGAACTAACAAAAAATTCAGACACAAATGTTAAAGATGTTTTTATCCCCGTGTTGATTTATATGCATTACCTAGATAGTTTCAGACAATTGTTAAAGACGTTTCTATCCCTTGTGTAGATTATAGGACTAATTTTATTTTAGATAAAACTTCACTCTTTCATTTTCTACCGTCTTATTTTTATCTTCAGTTTTGAAAAATAATATTTTAATCTTTTACATCATCAGTTTATTATATTTTAATCATCAAATTAGTAATTTTTATTAATTTGAGAATGTGACGTGTTAGTAAAAATAATTAAATTTGAATTTAGTCTTTGAATTTTAAGCATAATACTAATTTGACCCTAACATTTAGATGAAATATCAATTTAACTTCGGAATTTTAGATAAAATATTCCTTAAATCCAGTCAATAATAACACAATGGAAGTGCTTATCCATTGGCAATAATAACACAGGTGATGATAAGATTCAGTGTGACATACGTAAGTTGATCTTTTCCCTTGATGGTCATCACTATCGTGAAAACTGCATTGAAGAACGACGTAATTGCACCAACGGTTTAGTTGAACAAAATAGAAAAGTATCTAAGAGTAACATTTTTGTCACCGACGGATAAACAAAAGATAATCCTAAAATGAATATCTTCAACATTTGAATCGTGAATAAAATATGGTTAAACTACACCATTAATCACTCGACTATCTTCTTACTTCTATTTTGGTCATTGAAGTTTAAAATTCTTTAATTTAATCTCTCAACTTTTGAATTATTCTTATTTTGGTCACTCTGTCGTAAATAATTAATAGCGTTATGACATGGCAACTAACATCAAAACGACATAGTTTTAGATTCATAGAAAATCAAATTTAAATCAGAACGACGTAGTTTTATCAAGATTGAGAAAATGGAAAGCTGCATGAGCTTTCTCTAAATAATTACTCCTACTATTTAGGTTTGATAGTGCATTCGGTATTTGAAATGGAGCTCCAAGGAAAACGAGGAGTTAGAGTGACAGGGCATTTAGTTGTTATGTTCCAATGCTTTGTTTCTTCACATTTGTCCATGGTTCCACTTGGTTTCGAATTCATTGTGAATTTATGTTCCATTCAACATATAACTTGTGTGGACACCCGTTTTTGTCCGGGTTTTTTTTTTCGTTATTTTATTATTATTATTATTATTATTATTTATTATTATTATGTTTATTAATTACATATTACAATTTTTGCAGGCCAAAGGCCCAATCCCGGAGCCCAACAATCAACCCATCAGATTAGGGTTTCAAACCCTAAATCAGATTAGGGTTTCAAACCCTAAATCAGATTAGGGTTTCAAACCCTAATCCCCTAAATGTTCCAGCCGCCTCATTCCTGGCCATTGGATCTGGACCCATCCAACGGTCCAGATCACGCAGTAATTAGGGTTTTAAACCCTAAACCCATCATCCAACCGCCGCCGCCGCCAGCAGCAAGTGAACAGCCGCGCCGCCGTCACTGTTCCGGCCCGTCTCGCTCCACTCCGATGGTCCAGCCGCCGTTCCCGCGCCACCATCGTCATCTACAGTAAACCACAACAACCCCATCAGTCCCAAATCAACCCAAATCAAAAAAATATATATATCCAAACCCTAAAATATAAAATGCCTAAATCCCGGTAAATCGGGAAATTGGTCACCCTAAATCAACAACCCATAATTTCCCCTATTCCTAGACATCATCATCTCACCAAACGAAGCAAAAATCAACCATAAATCAAGCAAGATATCAGAGAACAAGGGGGGTCATTCGGTTAAAAAAAAAACAGAGAGAAGAACGAGAGCATTCGGGTTTTGAAAAAAAAAAAAAAAGAGCAAATCAAACAAAAAAAAACAAGGAGAGAAAGATAGAACCCTTACCTCGGTCGGAGGAAGCCATCGAGAACACCAAAGGTCGACGGTGTCTTATTACTTCGAAAGGTAAACTTGTAGATCTGGGGTCTAGAGTGGGTTTTAGACTAAGATGGTTGGGGATTTGGATTGAGGAGAACGAGGGGATTTTTTGAGATAGGTTGTTCCCTCCGGCCACCGTGCGTCGCCGTGGACTCCGCCGGCGGCAGCGGTTGGCATCTTCTCCGATGAGAGAGTTGGGAGAGTTCTCTCCAACTCTTTCTCTCTGGTTTTTGGTTGAAATGAAGAGATGAGGGAATGTGAGAGATGAGCTCGGTTTTGGGGGGGGGGTATGCCGAGCAAAACGCAGTCGTTTTGCCCCCAATATCATCTGATTTTTTGAGTTATGGGTAAACTACTCTGTAGGTCCTTGAGCTTTGTAATCTCACGATTTAACCATTGAATGAAGTTTCATTTTATTTGACTTTGGGCCTTCATCTTTTCACTGTTACATGTTGGTCACTATCCGTGCTTTATGGCATTTTGTCTATATTTGATTCTGGTTTTAATATTTTCAAATATTTCAATTTGATCACTGATTCAATGTATTTTATAATCTTTGTGTTATTCGAATTTGGCCATGATATTTATGTTTCTTATATTTTAGCCACTGTTTGGTATTTGGTATAATTACTGTTTGAATCTTTAAGTTTCTGTTTATTCTAAAATTGACCACTGATTTTGTTCTGTTTTATTGTAGCCATTGATTAATCTAGTTTCTTTATTTTATGTTTCTGATATTGTAGTTTCAATTTACACAGTTTAGTCACTTGTCTATAAAGCTTAGTTATTTTATTTTATTTGCGTTATGGTTTGCCATGTTTGCATGTTTACATTTTAACCCATGTTATATTATTGTACTCATATTTTACTTTGGCCACAATGTTTGTATTAGTTTCATTTTAGTCATTGATTTTTATATGTTGTATGTTTTGGCTGATGTTCAAATTTGACTCTAAGATTTGTAAATCTGTTCATTTTAGCCACTAGTTTGCATTCGGTTTAATTCCTATTTTAGTCCCTACGTTTCTGTTTTTGCCATTTTAGTCTTTTAATTTTCTATTTTTCTGTTTTAGCACTTTAATTTGTTATTACCATGTTAGTCATTGTAATTATTAAATACTTACTTTTTGACCATTTTATTTTGGGTTGTAACATTCTTTTAATCCCCTATGTATGTACATTTTTCATGTTATGTATTTATTTGTATCATATGTAATTAAATATGTTTGATTTTATTTGTTGTAAATATTTATTTCACATATTTCTATTTCTATTTATTTCCATTTTTCTTTATTTAAATATTGTCCAAATACTTGTAAGTACACGTATGCGTAGAATGAGCGTGGAAAGTATCACTTGGTCGAAGTGGTGCGATCCGATACGGCATTTTAACGACATAAGAACTTGCAACAAGTCGATTATATTTCACTAATTAATTTGTGCAAATGATGCAATGTGTGTTATATTAAATAGTAATTTATTTTATTTATGTAAATGTCAATTTCAAATTTTGCATTTGTATTCAATTCACATTTTTAATTTATTTTGTTGTATGCAAACATCAATTTTATTTATATTCGATTCACATTTTATCAAGAGGGAAATATTCTTCATGGATGAGAAATAGTCGAGTTAGCTTTCCCGATGGAGGATTGCTAATTTCGAGATTTCTTTTCGAGTTAAAGAATTTTCTCTAATTATTTAATTCGAAGCAAATTAATCAACGTTCGATAAATAGATCATATTTTAACTTTATATTTGATTTATAATTTCCACCATTTACAACGATGTGTAAGCGACACAGTACCAGTTTTGGGCGTTGTGGGGGTGTTTACCCTTCCCCGCACGTAACCGACTCCCGAATCCATTTAAATGAATCTTTGGTAACGCAGACCGAATCTTGTCTTAAAAAATGATTTTTCTTAAAATTGTTTTAAAAGACGTTTTTAGGTATTCGACCTACCTAACCCAAAGGTTGATGGCGACTCTTTTTTCATTTTATTCAAATCAATTCAAAATCACCCATTTTTTCCAAATTAAAGTCATAATTGTTTTAAAAAATAATATTTAATTGTTTTAAAAAAAAATGGTTATGACAGCTTGGCGACTCTGCTGGGGACATCTTTTTAGAGAGTCAGGCTGTATGTCGTTTACACATTGTCGTCTTAGTGGAAATTATAAGTTTGAGTACATAGTTAACTTATGATCCGTTTATTGAAATTTTTAATTGCTTCATTTTTAATTATCATACTAACATTTTATCTTTTTGCTTTCAGCTCTGTCCAAGTTTTTGTCGAGTTTTTTCTTTTCATTTTGAGTCAAAGGTAGGTATGTTCCTACTCACACACATCACTCGCATTGGCATAACATAAGCTCTAGACACGAGCTTCGATCCAAATTAGTTGGGGTGAATGCTTCACTCTCGTAAGAATTTATTCTTCGTATGAGTTTTAGCAAATAACCCATGGGATACATACTTTATACCTTCGTAGGGATTTATTCCTCGTACGGGTATAAGACAGTGAATCCCCTCGAATTGAACTCGTTCCGTTTGAAACCTGTAATGGGTGAGGATCGAGGGTCTGGCAGCCCAAGGGGGCACCGACATCAAGGACAATTCGAGTCCCTTTTTTCCGTTAGAGCCGAAACCAAGCATATAGTGAACCGTCGAACGATCACCCTAGGTATAGTCATACCAAACCTTTGTCCGTCAGTAGGTACCCAAAATAGGTGTACACGAAGGAGGAACGACTCTAAACCTTAACCTTTTAAATTTGTAGCATTTTTTTTTTCCGAATAAAGCATGCGAACTAGACACCAGGCGGTTAGGACCAATTTCTTGAATGAAAATAGATCATTTTGGGTAGATAGCATGTCCGGGTAGGATTGTTATTTAATTGAAAGCATGTTTGGGTAGATATCATGTCGGGTAGGTGTTATATTCATCTTTGAATAACATTTTTATCCGTATCAATTATTTTACATGTACTAACTTATTTTTCTCTTTTGTTTGTGTATACTAACTTATTTCTTCTCTTTTGTTTGTGTCATTTTGTCATTTGCATTGCATTGCATTGCATCATC